ACGAACCAGGTCACGCTTGCGAACGAGACTCAATTCTGGTCTCGGGGCCGGGGGGGGGGGTTCATACGCCAGGTGAAACAAAATCAGCTTGCAACTTGAAACTATTATTACAGGGAAATGTTTCTCAACTCCAGATTCTATGACCCCCCCCCCCAACCCTCACCATGATACAGATTTCCGTGATTACCAACCATGTGCAGTATGCAATGGCCTAATTTGCATCATTATCATCATCATGTTCTTTTCAATAGCTCCAGGCCCAACCTAATTTCCGCCACGGTTCTCGCTCTCCCCCTCATCTTTAGCCAGCGTCATGGCTTAGTGTTAGTCAAGCATTGCCGCTCATGCAAATTCCATCTCGCCATCGCCGAGGAACAAAAAAAAAAGCCGCACAGCCCGATGATTGTCAACCACTGTTCACAAGCTCGCCGTTGTGCTCCCTCTGCATCAAGGCGTCTTCGGCCAACGCAGTGAGCGTTGATTCACACGCGGGGGAGGAAACAAGGGGAGCACCTGGGGGAAACCCGCGCGTGCGAGGGAGGCGACACTATCCCGACATACTCTTTGGTTCTATTGGGTAAAGTCACGTAGGTGAAAATAAAATAACAAAAAATCACGACGTTTCGGCCACAACACAAGCGGCCTTCATCAGGTGAAGGGACGAGACTGTCTGGAGGACAGCGCTGGAGTGAGAAAAGCCACGCTTAGATCACGACCTTTAAGCTGTGTGAGAAGAAAACAAAGCGCCTTGACAAAGGAATTAGCATATCCCGACAGTCGCTAGCGCGGGCTGGCTGGCTCAGCGTGGGGCGCTGGTGGTATGATGCACCGGTGTGCTGCCAAGACGTCTAATTTACGGTGTGTTATGATGCACCGGTGTGCCGCCAAGACGTCTATTTTACGGTGTGTTATGATGCACCGGTGTGCCGCCAAGACGTCTAATTTACGGTGTGTTATGATGCACCGGTGTGCCGCCAAGACGTCTATTTTACGGTGTGTTATGATGCACCGGTGTGCCGCCAAGACGTCTAATTTACGGTGTGTTATGATGCACCGGTGTGCCGCCAAGACGTCTATTTTACGGTGTGTTATGATGCACCGGTGTGCCGCCAAGACGTCTAATTTACGGTGTGTTATGATGCACCGGTGTGCCGCCAAGACGTCTAATTTACGGTGTGTTATGATGCACCGGTGTACCACCAAGACGTCTATTTTACGGTGTGTTATGATGCACCGGTGTACCACCAAGACGAATATTTTACGGTGTGTTATGATGCACCGGTGTGCCGCCAAGACGTCTATTTTACGGTGTGTTATGATGCACCGGTGTGCCGCCAAGACGTCTATTTTACGGTGTGTTATGATGCACCGGTGTACCGCCAAGACGTCTATTTTACGGTGTGTTATGATGCACCGGTGTGCCGCCAAGACGTCTAATTTACGGTGTGTTATGATGCACCGGTGTGCCGCCAAGACGTCTAATTTACGGTGTGTTATGATGCACCGGTGTGCCGCCAAGACGTCTAATTTACGGTGTGTTATGATGCACCGGTGTGCCGCCAAGACGTCTATTTTACGGTGTGTTATGATGCACCGGTCTGCCGCCAAGACGTCTAATTTACGGTGTGTTATGATGCACCGGTGTGCCGCCAAGACGTCATTTTTACGAACTCTCAGGATGAGATTCAAGGTCCCCATGCCAACCACGTTACGCCCATATATTTAAGTCTACGATTTAAAAAAAAATAAAAACCCCCACGAAACTCATTCCAGCCAGGCAAATTCTACCTCCACAACAACATCCAGTGCGGGCTAAATGTCACGTGAAGCTAGTTGCCAGAATACACGGCGAATGAAATGCAATGCTAAGGCATGAATGCACAATCGTGCCAGTGTGTGTGTGTTGTGTCACGCTGCCCGAGGTTACTTAAATCCGCCCTCTCCGCTCACGTCAATCACCGCACGAGAAGATTTGCATCAACATTAGAAACTTTTATTTTCATTTTTGCATTTCTTCGTGCGATACACTTTGCTAAGGAAGTGCACGAACCGAATTCCCTTTAGTGCTGGAGCTTGTGGGAGGCAAGGCAGTTAAGTGGAATGAACCATGACGCATCCCTTCAATATGAATGGATGGATGGCGCGCCACATCTATACGAATCAATGGATTGCAGATCCCCACAAAAATATGAATAGATGGCACATTCCATTAATGTGAATGAATGGCTGGCACACAACATCACACATCTTCACAAACCTACTACCCCGACCCCTATCATTACCCCCATCACTACACTAACCCCCATCATCACCCCCATCACTACACCAACCCCCATTACTACCCCCATCACTACCCCAACCCCCATCACTACACCAACCCCTATCATCACCCCATCACTACACCAACCCCCATCACTACCCCCGTCACTACCCCAACCCCCATCACTACCCCCATCACTACACCAACCCCCATCACTACGCCCATCACTACACCAACCCCCATCACTACCCCAACCCCCATCACTACCCCCATCACTACACCAACCCCCATCACTACACCAACCCCCATCACTACCCCAACCCCCATCACTACCCCCATCACTAGACCAACCCCATCACTACACCAACCCCCATCACTACACCAACCTCCATCACTACACCAACCCCTATCATCACCCCCATCACTACACCAACCCCCATCACTACACCAACCCCCATCATCACCCCCATCACTACACCAACCCCCATCACTACACCAACCCCCATCATCACCCCCATCACAGACCAACCCCATCACTACACCAACCCCTGTCATCACCCCCATCACTACACCAGCCCCCATTACTACCCCCATCACTACCCCAACCCCCATCACTACACCAACCCCTATCATCACCCCCATCACTACACCAACCCCCATCACTACCCCCGTCACTACCCCAACCCCCCATCACTACCCCCGTCACTACCCCAACCCCCATCACTACCCCCATCACTACACCAACCCCCATCACTACCCCAACCCCCATCACTACCCCCCCTCACTACACCAACCCCCATCACTACACCAACCCCCATCACTACACCAACCCCCATCACTACCCCAACCCCCATCACTACCCCCATCACTAGACCAACCCCATCACTACACCAACCCCCATCACTACCCCATCACTACACCAACCCCCATCACTACCCCAACCTCCATCACTACACCAACCCCCATCACTACACCAACCTCCATCACTACACCAACCCCTATCATCACCCCCATCACTACACCAACCCCCATCATCACCCCCATCACAGACCAACCCCATCACTAGACCAACCCCTGTCATTACCCCCATCACTAGACCAACCCCCATCACAGACCAACCCCATCACTAGACCAACCCCTGTCATTACCCCCATCACTACACCAACCCCTATCACTACACCAACCTCTATCACTACACCAACCCCCATCACTACCCCAACCCCCATCACTACCCCCCTCACTACACCAACCCCCATCACTACTCCCATCACTACACCAACCCCCATCATCACCCCCATCACAGACCAACCCCATCACTACCCCAACCCCCATCACTACCCCCATCACTACCCCAACCCCCATCACTACCCCAACCTCCATCACTACCCCCATCACTAGACCAACCCCATCACAGACCAACCCTATCACTACACCAACCCCTATCATCACCCCCATCACTACACCAACCCCCATCACTACCCCCATCACTACACCAACCCCCATCACTACTCCCATCACTACACCAACCCCCATCATCACCCCCATCACAGACCAACCCCATCACTACCCCAACCCCCATCACTACCCCCATCACTACCCCAACCCCCATCACTACCCCAACCTCCATCACTACCCCAACCCCCATCACTACCCCAACCCCCATCACTACCCCAACCCCCATCACTACCCCAACCTCCATCACTACCCCAACCCCCATCACTACCCCAACCCCCATCACTACCCCAACCCCCATCACTACCCCAACCCCCATCACTACCCCAACCCCCATCACTACCCCAACCCCCATCACTACCCCAACCCCCATCACTACCCCAACCCCCATCACTACCCCAACCCCCATCACTACCCCAACCTCCATCACTACCCCAACCCCCATCACGACCCTTACTGCTGCCCCTGTCCTACAGCTACGACCAGGCCCACCCCAGGCCCTTTCACTACCCCAACATCTCCTTAACCAATCCCACCCGTCCTCCTATCACCGTAACTACACCACCGCTTTAAATAACAACACTTTATTTTCACCACGTGTGTAAAATTGTAATAATTATTGTCAAGCGCCTTAAACTAAGGCAACATGTAAATCGACATTAGATCGGCATGAATGAACGCCACCACATCAACGTGAAGGAATGAAACACCCCATCACCAAGCCTGTTCGAGAGAAAGGAGGAGACACCTCGCCATAAAACATGAATGAAATAATTGGAAACCTCAACACCAAACAATGCTATGCCTCATCATAACCACCTAATTAAATAGCATGTGTTCGGGCGGGGATAGGGGGAGGGGGACACGGGAGCGGGGGGCTGGGAGGGGCGGGGGGCTGGGAGGGGCGGGGTTAATGATGGGGGTAATGATAGCGGTAATGATAGGTGTACTCAGATTGTCCATGTTGTGGATTTGCTCTCCAACACACAACCGGCGTGCTGTACGAGTAACGAATTGGCACGTTCTGGTTACGTGACGACCCCTACTAATTGGCTGTGTCGGGTGGTGGCGGATTTAACGACACACTTATATTTACGCGATTGAACCCCCCCCAAAAAACCCTATATTATGGTTTATAAATGTTCGAACGTGTTTATGGGTGAATGTTAATTGACTGTACATTATTGCGTTCATGAATGATAAATAACCGACGTTATAAATAAAAAGGATGAGTAATTCATATAGACACACACACATTAATTGATGAATGAATTGGAGCCCGGCATACCCTTGCTCCGGCGAAACACCGCTGCCACCGCCGGGCGCGTAATCCCAGTCCACCTCCCGCACGGCGACGTGGAACTCCCGGTCCCGGGCGCGAACTCGTCCCACCAGCAGTGCGGCCAGAGCCGCCACCACAGCGGCCCGCGCGCACAGCGGCATCGAGACCCTCCTCCTGGTGATGCTGCTGCTGCTGCTCCTCCACGTGATGCTGCTGCTCCTCCACGTGCTGCTGCTGCTCCTCCTCGTGCTGCTGCTGCTCCTCCTCGTGCTGCTGCTGCTCCTCCTCGTGCTGCTGCTGCTCCTCCTCGTGCTGCTGCTGCTCCTCCACGTGCTGCTGCTGCTCCTCCTCGTGCTGCTGTTGCTCCTCCACGTGCTGCTGCTGCTCCTCCACGTGCTGCTGCTGCTCCTCCACGTGCTGCTGCTGCTCCTCCACGTGCTGCTGCTGCTCCTCCACGTGCTGCTGTTGCTCCTCCACGTGCTGCTGCTGCTCCTCCACGTGCTGCTGCTGCTCCTCCACGTGCTGCTGCTGCTCCTCCACGTGCTGCTGCTGCTCCTCCACGTGCTGCTGCTGCTACTCCTCGTGCTGCTGCTCTTCCTCGTGCTGCTATTGCTGCTGCTCCTCCTCGTGCTGCTGCTCCTCCACGTACTGCTGCTGCTCCTCCTCGTGCTGCTGCTCCTCCACGTGATGCTGCTGCTGCTCCTCCACGTGCTGCTGCTGCTCCTCGTGCTGCTGCTCCTGCTTCGGACTGTGCTGCGCTTGATCTCGCTTCTGCTGTTGTGTTCTTGTTACTACGCCTGTTGTGGTGGTGGTGGTGGTGATGGGGGAAGGGTGGTGGTGATGGGGAAGGGTGGTGGTGATGGGGGAAGGGTGGTGGTGGACGTTGTGGTGATGATTGGGGGGAGGGTGATAATAAGGTAACCCAAGCGGGAGGTAGTAAACCGTGCCTCTCACTTCTTAAAACCTCGCCCCCGCTTGATTGCGATACCGGGGTCAGCCGGTGTTCTGCGCTCCTCCTCCCCCACTACTCCAGCGAGGGAGGTTTACGGCGCTTCTCCCCCGACGTGTGCGTGACGGACGCCGTTCAGAATCAACGCAGCCCGCGTCTCGTGAATGGTGGCATTGCGAGCCAACACATCCAGGGAGAGAGTAGTGGGCGTACGTATGTATGTAGAACTTCTTTCGCACCCTACTGTAGCCAACCGTGCGAATCGGCGGATGGGTGTTTGAGTCGGCGAGTGGGAGGATGGATGAATTGGTGTGGGTAAATGTTTGGGTTGATGTTGATAGATGACTGATTACGTGGTTACGTGGATGGTTTGGTGTAGGCAAGTGACTTCCTAAACCAAGTGCAGGTTGTTAAGTGGGCTAGTTGATGGTGGTTGCTCAGCGTGTGCATGTTCCGTGTGAATGTGTTGGTGTATTCGCCACGTGTCTGGTCGTGTGCTGTGGTTGTCTCTTAGTCACGTCTAAAAACTGTTTGGTGGGGGGGGGGGGTGTCCAGTCCCACGCACGGCGCCAGCAGTGGCTGTCTGGTGGAATCTCTTTTGTAATCTGTGAATCATGGCGCGCGCGCCTACGTCCACTGGCAATCCACAGAGGGCCCCAGTGATGGCACAGCGGGGGCCAGCTGAAGTCTACGTGCTCTGCCCCACGTGGCAGCGATCACCTTGGCCCGATGCCTGTGACGACGAGGCCGAGTTATGTTGATTAAAAACCAGCGCGCAAAAAAAAACATGTCCCGTGCCAAGCCCTCGAACCAGCAGGTTTCATATATTTAACGCCAGCCGATTCATCAGAAGACGAAGAAGTGACGAGTCAGACTGTAAGGCATCCAAAGGGGTGAGCGAATGGGTCAGCGAATGGGCTCTCCGATGAGTTTTCCCGGTTGTGACCGCTGCGCGTGCCGTTCGAGGACACACACACACGACGTCCGACGTTCCGCTCCGCGTACCGGGAGCTTCTTCGGTGGAACTGAACGGGGAATCCTGGGAGCCGAACAACGCCCGCGGCACAACCCCAACACACATACGAGGAAGTGACAGAATGCTTTGCTACGTTTTAAAATTGCCGTGCGCTCCGTTTACGACCGTTATCCACCACGTCTGTTAGTTGTGTAATATTCCTTTATGTTTTGATTTAAAGCTTTCGTGACTGCAGGGATTCATATTCTTGGTTCTTTCGGTAAAGTCACGTAGAAGTGAAACAATAAAATAATAAAAATATAAAACAATCACATTTTATATTCTTGGTTCTTTCGGTAAAGTCACGTAGAAGTGAAACAAAAAAAATATAAAACAATAACATTTTATATTCTTGGTTCTTTCGGTAAAGTCACGTAGAAGTGAAACAATAAAATAATAAAAATATAAAACAATAACATTTTATATTCTTGGTTCTTTCGGTAAAGTCACGTAGAAGGGAAACAATAAAATAATAAAAATATAAAATAATAAAATTATCACGACGTTTCGACTGCAACACAAGCAATCATCATCAGGTGTGAAAACCACAGCAAGAAAATTTGAAAGTGGCGGTTATTTTTAACGTTAGCACCACGGAGAGAGATTTGACGGTTTGTTTAGATGGACGAGTCCATCTATTTTTTTATTTAAAGCTTTCGTGACTGCAGTAATTCATATTCTTAGTTCTTTCGGTAAAGTCACGTTGAAGGGAAACAACAAAATAATAAAATATATAAAACAATAAAAATTCTCACGACGTTTCGACCATAACACAAACGGTCGTCTTCAGGTGTGTTGGTTTGCATACATTTTTTTTTAATAAATACACCGTTTAAAAATAAATTTATGCAAACCAACACACCTGAAGACGACCGTTTGAGTTATGGTCGAAACGTCGTGAGAATTTGTATTGTTTTATATATATTTTATTATTTTGTTGTTTCCCTTCAACGTGACTTTACCGAAAGAACTAAGAATATGAGTCCATCTATGTTCGGAAAAGAGTGGGAAGACGAAAAATAATGGATGCGGTCTGAAAGCCACCTTAAGCGTGATCAATCAATTAAGACCCCAAATGGTTTATCAAATCCTTCCAATGATTGCTAAGCCAGAATACATCTTCTCGGTTGAAATTGTCTCTGTGTTTGTATATGTGGATAGCCTCATGAACGAATCTCTCATGGTAGCCAGATGGCTTGCAAAGAACCTGTCTTGGAGAAGTCAATGTCATGTGAACCTACTGAATTATAACAGTGATCTGCCACGGCCGAGGTGTTGGTCCTACCGTGTTTCAGGTCTGCTTTGTGTTCACGAATGCGGTCCGAGACATTTGAGCGTATAACATGTTGTGAAACATCACTTCAAGTAAGTGTTGATTTTATGTATGTTTTAAAAGTCAGTAAAAAAATGCCGATTTCAAAATTCGGAAACATTACAACCGGCTTATGACAGTTTTGATTTGCGACACGAGTTTATGACGTCTGTAAGGCCACCGTGGATCGATTTACAACAGAAACACTTAACATTTTATTGTTTTATATACATTTTATTGTTTATAATATATTTTTTTATTTTATTATTTCCCTTCTACGTGACTTTACCGAAAGAACCATGAATATTAAGAAATTTGTGTTTTTTTATTGTTGTTTTTGTCTTGTCCTTGCTACTGTGCTCACGCAGCATTGCGGATTATCCCGTGACAAACAGCTGGGCAACTTGCTAAACGGGATCATCATCACCGCCACCACCACGTGTAACAAATAAAATACATTTCTTAAATGCAATTTAACCGCGGTTCTCGATTTGTCATGATTGCGAGGCCAAATGTAGCTATCAGCACTGTTTAACTGAACCCCACGAACCCAATCAATAGGGAATGTAATCAATGTATGGCTTAAACGATTAAATTGATTGTTATACTGATCCCAGTTAACATGCCAAAGTCGGGTCAACGTTTGGCCCAACTTGCCATGTTTTACTCGGATGACACGTGCGTAGTAGAATTGTGTGTGTAGTAATGGACACTTGACGATTCGCCAAATGATATGTACACGATATGCTGTTCCATCTTATCTTATCATTCATTTTATACGAAACAAGAGCAAATGTGAGTTTCTTCCTGTTGTCCGTCTGTCCGGATTAGTTTTTATTTAAGTACATTTTTTGAGCGTATAACATTTGTGAAACATCACTTCAAGTAAGTGTTGATTTTATGTATGTTTTAAAAGTCAGTAAAAAAATGCCGATTTCAAATTTCGGAAACATTACAACCGGCTTACGACAGTTTTGATTTGCGACACGAGTTTATGACGTCTGTAAGGCCACCGTGGCTCGATTTACAACACAGAAACACTTCACCCAAATTTTCCCACGCGACTCTGAACTCATCTCGACAGCGATGACCGTTGCCGTACAACGTGGTAAAGAGACACTCGGTTTAGTTTGTAAAGGTCAAGTCACGTAAGCAATGGACAAAGACAAGCAGAGGTCATTGTTTTTGTCTTTGTTTGTGTCTCTCCCTTGCGATGGGACTTTCTTGGATGAACGTTGAGATTTATTCGGGGCACGGGGTGACCAATAAGGTCTGAATCTGTCTGTAGTAAAGTAGGGCACTGATAAGGGGTTGACAGGGATGCTTAACACTCTTCTCCTATGAATGTATAGCGCTCGGGGACTGTTTTGTACAACACAGAACCAATGTTTTGTAACATGTTAACACGTTGATTATGAAATAAAAACTATTCACCTTTAATAATAGGGTTTTCCCCTTTTTTTTCTGGCAACAAAACTGAAACCTTTTTACAAGGATTCACGTTACTGCATTAACCACAATACCTGCAGTCAGAATGCAAACAAAAAAATACTATGATAATATATGCATTGTCCTTGAAACTGATTGGTCCACACCAAGGGACGGCTTTCTTTTGAACCTTGACCCAATTTGTGCTCGACCAGATTACGCCAAGAGGCTGTACGCCTTTTTTGTTTGCATTTTGACTGCAGGTATTGTGGTTAATGCAGATATGAATCCTTGTAAAAAAAGGTTTCAGTTTTGTTGCCAGAAAAAAAGTGAAAAACCCTATTATTATATTTTGGTACTGGCAAAGGAGGTCTAATGATATAACTATTCACGTCTTATAGTAGTTTAGCTCTTACGAATTCTAACCGTAGGTTCGAATTGAAACCCGAAGGTCCCTAAGCCTCCGCAGGACCACGGAGACGAGGGACCCGAAATGTCCACGTTTAAGCGAAATAAACAAAGCAAACTACAAAGGAGATGGGGGGAAAAGAACCACGCACGAGTCGAGAACACGGCGTACAACAACAGATGTCGCTGCACTGTCCCATGCTGCCCACCACATAACGCTGCCGCCTATCCCGACCTGTCCGTGCGTAGTGATCACCCATCGGGCTCGACGCCTCCTGAGAGTCCAGGATGTGCCTCGATCTGCCATGGCACATTCTGGTTAATTTGGTCATTGGGA